CCATCCTCTGGTAAGTCCAGAACATCAATAAAAGAGGTTAATCAATTAAACTGATCCTAGAGCTCCGAAGTTTTTTTTTTCCAAAAACTTTAGGAACTGTGATATAAGAATGAATTTGTGATCGTGACTTAAACATGATAGAAAGCCATGGGACCGTCGTCCGGAAGATCAACAACATCCGTAAAATGGTCACTCCATAGAATTGAGAGGTGGAAGAATTACTATGACGAGCACCTCAACGGCGATGCAGCAGAAAACGAAGGTGGCACGGCAACAGACCTTGCAGCCCGTGCAGAAGACGACAGAATACTGGCCCCTGATCTTCAAGAAGTTGAGGAGGAGATCGGTCGACTGGTGAACAACAAAGCAACTGGTGTAGATCAACAACCAAGTAAGCTATTAAAATACGGTGGTGAAGCACTGGCTAGAGCGCTGCACTGGGTAATTGCCAAGATTTGGGAGGAGGGAATATTACCGGAGGAGTGAAGCAAGGTGTTGTATGCCCAATCTACAAAAAGGGGGACAAGTTGAATTGCTGCAACTACCGTGCCATCACACTGCTGAGCGCCGCTTACAAGGTACTCTCCCAAATTATACGCCGCCGCCTGTCACCATTTGCAAGAGATTTCTTGGGAAATACCAGCAGGGATTCATGTGTTTATATTCGCGATTCGGCAGGTTCTGCAGAAATGCCACAAATACAACTTGCTTACACATCATTTGTTCATCGATTTCAAATCCGCATACGACACAATCGATCGTGATCAGCTATGGCAGATTATGCACGAGTAAGGATTTCCAGATAAACTGACGCGATTGGTCAAGGCAACGATGGATCGAGTATCGGGGACACTCTCGAGTCCCTTTGATCTCAAAGGGGGTTACGGCAAGGTGATGGACTTTCGTGTCTGCTATTCAACATTGCGTTAGAATGTGTGATCAGAAAAGCAAGGATAAACACGAGTGGCATGATTTTCAGGAAGTCCATCCAGCTTCTTGGCTTCGCCGATGACATCGACATCATGGCACGGAACTTTGAGACGAAGGCGGAAACGTACATCAGACTGAAGGCGGAAGCTAGGTGGATTGGACTTGCCATCAACGCATTAAACACAAAATACATGAAAGGAAGAGGTTCTAGGGAAGACAATGTTAGCCTCCCACCCCGAGCTCAGATTGACGGTGACGAAATCGAGGTGGTAGATGAGTTCGCGTATTTGAGCTCACTGGTCGAAAATGATACCAGCAGAGAATTTCAAAGACGCATTATGGCAGGGAATCGTGCCTACTTTGGACTCCGGAGGACGCTCCGGTCGAATAAAATTCGCCACGAAGTTGACTATCTAAAAGACGCTGATTAGACCGGTGGTCGTCTACAGCCACGAGACTGTGACTATGCTCGTGGAGGACAAACGTGCTCTTGGATGACGGAACGTGGAGGAGTCGAATGAACCAAGAATTGCACCAGCTGTTGGGATAACCATCCATCGTTCACATTGCAAAAATTGGGCGACTACGGTAGGCTGGGCATGTCGTAAGAATGTCGCACGACGACGCAGTGAAAATGCCCCAACAGGAACAAGAAGAAGAGGCGCGCAGCGGGCAAGGTGGATCGATCAAGTAGAAGGCGACCTGCGGACCCTTCGCAGACTACGAGGCTGGCGAAGTCTAACCATGTGGATAGTAGAGTGGATACGACTTCTTCGGATAGCAGAGGACAACAAGGCCTTAGCCCGATTGCAAGTCATAAAATTGATCCAAGAACGAAAAACCGTGGACCTATGATATTAGAATGAATTTGGAGTTTTAACATAAACATGGAACCGAATGACCATGGGACAGACCATGGGACTCCGGAAGATCCGTAAAAATGGTCCATCCATGATACTGTTTCTAGAGCTCCGTAGTTTTGTCGAAAACACTTCTAACTGTGATATATGAAAGAATTTAAGGTCGAGACATCAACATGAACCTAGATGGCCATTGGAACGTCCTCCAGAAGATCCTGATCATCCGTAAAAGTGGATCATCGATGAAACTGTGAAAAAACCGTGGTTTTTTTCATCGAAAACTCTTGGAATTGCGATTTAAGATAGAATTTAGGGTCGTGACATAAACATGGATCCAGATGGCCATAAGACTGTCCTCCAAAAGATCCGGAACATCCGTAAATTTATCATACTGTGAAACTGATCCTAGAGCTCTGCAGTTCTTTTTTAAACAGTGTGATATAAGAAACCTCTGGATCACTTTTACGGATGTTCCGTATCTTCCGGAGGACGGTCCTATGGCCATCCAGGGCCGTGATTTTTAAACTTTATTAAGGAGATTGTGGGCTGGTTCGTCTCCGGTACGTGTTTATGTCATGACCCCGAATTCTTTCTTATATCGCAGTTCCACATGCTTTCGAAAAAACCGTAGAACTCTAGGATCAGTTTCAAGGATTGACCATTTTTAAAGATGTTCTTGATCTTGCGGAGGATGGTCTCATGGCCTTCTAGGTACACGTTTATATCACGATCCCTAATTCATTCTATCATCTCAGTTCTTAGTGTTTTTTTTTCAAAAACTGCGGAGCTCTAGGATCATTTTCATTGATTGACCAGTTTCACGGATGTTCCGGATCTTCCGGAGGATGGTCCTATGGACATCCAGGTTCATGTTTATGTCACAAGCCCAAATTCTTTCTATCATCACAGTTCCTAATGTTTATAAAAAAAAACGCGGAGCTCTAGGATCAGAATCGTGGATTTACTACTTTTACGGATGTTCCGGATCTTCCGGAGGACGGGTCCATGACCCAAATTCATTCTTATATCACAGATCCTAATGTTAAAAAAAACGGAGCTCTAGGATCAGTTTCATCGATGGTCCACTTTTACGGATGTTCCGGATCTTCCGAAGAACGGTCCCATGGCCATCCAGGTACATGTTTATGTCACGACCCCAAATATTTTTTTGTATCACAGTTCCTAATGTTTACAAAAAAACCGCAGAGCTCTAGGATCTGGATCATGGATTGACCATTTTTACGGAAGTTCCGGATTTTTCGAGAACCGTTCCGTTGTCTCCAGGATCCATAGATAGGAACCATGACTGTATTTCTGGCTAATTGTGAACATTTGTGCCCATTAATCTAAATTACAGATCTTGCGCCACTTGCAAAACCCTACAAACACACCTTTCAAAAAAACGTGTAACAACTCTTTTCGCTTTTTAAAAAACTAGACGACTCTATTTTCAAGTTTTTTACAATTAAAATCATCTAGAAACCCTACGAATTCTAAAGGTACCACATTTTTTGAAATTCATTAAGAAATGGCTAAGTTGTGCCATTGCAAACTTGCCGTTACACGTTTTTCGGAGGCTTCGTAGTCGGCGTAAAGTTTTTTACCCACCGTATTCGGAGTATATATAAAGTTATCGTGCACCCCTCGAAACATAGGAAAATCCACGAGCCCCTCATTTTATCTGTCAAACTTTCATAGCGAATCGAAACGAACATAGTGTAGTACTAGAATTTCGACTAGAATGGGGTACACTTATAGATGTACTTGGGACCATAAGCAACAATCAATACGAAACTAATGATTTTAAATTGGCTCACTTCTTGACTAGCCTATTGGTCCCAAGCAAACGATTAACGTACCCCATTCTAGTCGAAATTCTAGTACTACACTATGTTTGTTTTGATTCACTATGAATGTTTGACAAATAGCATGAGGGGTGAGTGGATTTTTCTATGTTTCGAGGGTGAATCGACTAGCTTGGGACCGAAGAGAGTACCAGAGCTGAGCCAAAAAGTTGAGCACGTTTCTTCGGGACCTTCTAGTCTTAGAGTTACCTCTATGCCATAAGCCAGTCATGTAGTGAGCCAAATCGTTAGTTTCTACCTGTTGCTTCTACTGCGGATAGGATTACACCCATTGCTTGGCACTTGGCCGTTTGTCTTCCGTGAGGTTTCATATTACGATCAGTAGCGGTGCGGCTCCTTTTTCGGTGAATGGACGCTCATGTGGGCTGTAACTAGCTGCTTGCCTTTCGTTGTGTGATGGAGAACAATGTTCAACGCCGAGGGCCGAAAGCACTGCTGCTGATGACGACCGACCGGACATCACCACACACGGTGATTGAATAAGCACCGTTCGGCGAGGCCGGAAAGAGTTCGATTTTGAAATCTGTGCTAGGGAAAGCGCTTTTTGCAGGCAATCGGTGATAATTTTGATCACCATTGCAACAGTTGGACATTTGTGTAATTTTCAATAGTGACCTATTGCAAATTGATAGTGTTCATTTTAGCAGATTCGTAGAAAAATTTCCAATCGATGGGCTTTTTTAGAATTAAAATCCATTCGCTATTGACAGAGTTATAAATGGTCAAAAGCTGACCACTTTTCGTAACGCGGTCCATTTTCCCAAATATGAGAAAATTAAAGATTGGATTCACTCAATATATGGGAAATGGCATAAATCGCCGAAATCCGCTACACTTTTTCCAATGTTTCTTGACACTAAAGTTAGTCGAAGTGAGAGCCGATCCTTGTCCTCTTGTTTTTCACATTTTTTCATCATTTCGAATCGTGTAAGACCATTGATCCCACTAGATGCTCCACATAGGAATTTGTCACGTTCGGTGTCGCCCAAGTGCGCCATAAATATTCATCCGAGAATCTCTCTGTAGCGACAACAATCCGTACTTTTATCGCTTCTGCCACTGCAACAGCACGTGAGATTCTTCACCACAGGCACTGGCCCCCACCGGCACAAGGTACAAGTTCCCACGGAGTTTAAATCCACCGGCACCGGAAACACGTATCCACTCGATTTCGGGTGGCGATAATCCGTCCTTAATACCGAGGAATGCACCATTAAAGCTACAGTTTCCTCCCTCACCATCACCCCCATCGCAAAAACACATATGTACCCGAAAGGGCACCGGCAAAACCGATTGAATTAATTAACTTCTGTCTGTTGTCCTTCTTTTTCCCTGTCGTTGCCAGCTGTTGCTCAAACATTCCCCGGCGGCGATGACGGCTGCGACGGCGTCGGCGGATGGACGTGACAGGGCCCGGCAGCAGCACCTTGTCAATCTGAGCGTCTCGACCGACGCCATCAGCCTGGACGGGTTGCTGGACTGCGTGAGCAGCGGAAGCTTTTCCAGCCCACCGTCACCGAAAGGAACAATGGGAGGACACAGTAGCAGGACGACCACCGGGACCGCCGAGGATGGTGAGTGCAATTTTATATACCTACATATTGGATGATTTTGTGACGTGACGGTTATTAACAACCTGCCTTCCCGGAGGGTTGGTTAACAAACAGTAGCGCGGCAAATCCATATTACGTGACTACGACTCAGCTGGGAAGCATTAAATCTCATTTTCGAAAAATTAAACGTCGCTTAATGCGTTTGTCACACAAAAAGAGCACTGATTGCCCGCCTCGGCTTCGTTAGGCACTTTTTGCGTCTCGCTTAAACTTGATTTAATTTGAAACTTTCCTTCTCCGTCTCAACTCTTTTTATCCTTTGCAGACTCTGGCATCTATCAAAACGACCCCCACCACCTGCACCAGCACCACAGGCAACGGCATCCGCACCCACCCGAGGACAATGCCGAAAGGATTACTACTTCCTCGTCCTCCTCCAGCCGCTCCGCCTCCTCGCTGGAAGAATTGAATTACGCGCTCGAAACGCTCAAAATCAGCGACACATTTCACGCCGATAAACAGGCAGTTAATCAACATTATGAAAATCTCATTAACGAGACAACCGACCTCGAGGACCAACGGGTGCTGAACCAGCAGGAGGATGCCGATTCGAAGAAGCAAAGGAAGCTCAGCGACTGGTACTACATCAAGACCAGTCCGACCAAGCACAAGAAGGGTCCACCACCGGCGGCAAGTCCTTGCGTCGAACGCCGGAACCGACCAGCAGTAATAATTACACGGGATCAGCAGCGGGCTGGCAGCCCCGGTAGGTCTACCCATCCGGACGAGCAGCTTGTTCCGCCAGTGATGGCAACGACTTCGAGTGGCGGTGGCTCGCGACAGGGCCAAGTACTGCTGACAAAAGTTTTAATTGCTAGTAAATATTCCTCCTCTCTAGCTGGAGCGAACGATGGCCACCACCAGCTCCACCCCCAGCAGCAGCAGCAGCAGGGCAATTCAAACTTGGTAAACAGCAATAAATTTTCATCTCCGGTGTTGGGTCCGAGGAGGTTCGCTTCCAGCGATGTTTTACCACCGCAAGCCGCACCCCGGCGGCACTACTCTGCTGCTTCGTCGAGGCCAATCTCGCCCCCAACGATAACAAACGCTGCAACAATGGCAATAAATGACAGAAATCTGTCGCCTCCGGTCACAAGCAAATATTTCAACATCGTGACCCGACCAGGTGGGTGTACCGCCATTCCCCCAAAGTTTGACTGTCTAATTCGGCTGTGGAATCTTTCAGGTATTTCCGCGGACTCGGGACGACCACCCGGGCAGCTGGACATCACCAGCACCAGCAGTAGCTTCGAGCACATCCCGGAGATTATCGGCAATCGATTTTCACCGTACTGCCAGCGTAAACATCCGCAGAACATTTATGAAAATTTTCCAGCGAATCGAATCGCACCACCCACCGACAGCCAGCTCCCGCAGCCATACGACATCGTGGACATGACGCACCAGCAGCGATACAAAAAGGCGGTCAAACGGCCTTTGCCGAGGGTGCCACCACAGCCGGCATCATCTGGTGCGGGACCGCCAGCAGGAGCGCCACCACCTGTGCCACCGTTACCATCGGCAGTGGCGGCTGCTACGGCGGTTGCCATCGAGTATGGCGAAGAGGATGACGACGCCGCCGACCGGAAGAACAAAAGTTCATTGACCAGGGTGAGTGTTGCTTTCTTTGTTGGTTGTTATTTTTTATTTTTTTTTTATTCGGAAGGTCGATTGTTAAGTTCAACGATGACCCTCTTCCGGGAAAATCGTCTGCCGGCGGATTTATTTCAGTTTCCATTCATTCTGCTTGGCGGACGTATTATTCATGTTCATGGAACTACTTTTGTCAGTTCTTGTGTGGGTTATTTAAAAAAAATCATCGCATTTTCTTAATTTTGAATTTTTTTCGGATGTTCCTGAAAAACTTTTAAGGGGCGCAACGGTCGTTGTCTCCAGGTGTATTTAGAACAAAACCTTCATCGAGATGGACGAAATGTCTTCGCATGTCTGCAACGCTACTTTAAAATTTGCGATGGGACTTGTCCAGATTTATAGAAATTAATCTCTATACACGGTTAGAAAAAAGTACCCAAAAGTAAGTTCTTTTCACTCATCTCGGCACTATAGTGCAGGAACCCAAAAATAGGTAAAGCGGGTCAAAGTAGTTTTCATTTACTTGTGTGCAATTCGTATGGAATTTTCCACTAGCTTTCAATGCAAAAGTAAGTTAGTTGTACCCAACAGTAGGTAAATACTATTATACTCAACGTTGGGTTCCCACACTTTACTACCCCTGTTGGGTGGTTTTGCTCCTCCGTTTTTGACAACATTAGAAGGAGAAAAGGAGACAAACTAGTCAAAAGTAGGTAAAAGTGAACTGCCCGTTGGGTACTTTTTTCTTACCGTGTAGAAGTTCAGGGAAGTTAAGAGAACATCATTTGATTTCAGGGTACTTCGCAGAAGTTCAAGGAACTTCAAGGAATATAATAGATATTTAGGAAACTTCGTAGAACTTCAGGGATCTCAGTAGAAGTTCAGGAAACTTTCTAGACGTGCAGAAAATGTTGTACAAGTTCTGATAATTTTGTCGAAGCTCAGCGAACGTCGAAGCTCTTAAGTGAACTTTGTAGAAGCGGATAGAATCTTGTAAAAGTTCAACGAATGAAGTAAAAGCTCACCGAAATATGTAGAAGTTTAGTGATTTTTGTAGAACCTTGTGGAAATTTAGCGATCTTTGGAGAAATTCTCTCTAAAGTTAAAGTTCAGAAGACATCGTAGATGTTCATGAAACATTGAAGAAGTTCAAGAAGCTTCGCAAAAAAAATGAGAACTTCGTAGGCCTTCAGAAGCTTCGTAGGCCTTTAGAAGCTTTGTAGAAATTCAGGAAATTAAAAAATCAGAGTACTTCGCAAAAGTAGGAACTTCATACATGCATGGGAAGCTTCGTAGAAGTTAACTCAATATTATTTAATTCAAGGCTACTTCATAACTGCTTGGGAATCTCCTTTTAACATCAGGCCGCTTCGTTTAAGTATAAAGAGCTTGGAACAGTTCAGGGCATTACGTATAAGCTCAGGAAACTTTGTGAAACGTCGCGGAAAATCAACGAGAAACGTAGAAGTTGCAGAATTACGTATCAACTCGAGGAGCTGCGTAAACTTTCTTAGAAGTGCAGGGAATTTCTTAGAAGATCAAACAATTTCGTAAACGTTTTGCAAACTCTTAGGCCTTCAGGGTTCTTCGTTTCTGTTTAGGAAACACCGAAGCAGTTTGTCAGAAATCTACTTGCCTATGCGGTATTGCAATAAATTTCCCGGAAGATTTGGGAACTGCATTTAATTTTAAGGAACTTCCCGGAAGCTCTGGAATATTCGTAGATAAGGACGAGAAGATTGCAACGAAACTATCAGGTGATTTCGACGGAGTTTCCAGACGACTGCATCGAACATTGCAGAAAATTTCGACAGAGCTCTCTGACGTTTCCTACGACGGAGGACCTAGACGAATTTGTCAGAGATTTCAGACGATTTCGACGGAAGAGGGTCCTCTACGGAGATTTTAGTTTGGATCAAATATTCCAGACGATTTTATGGAGTTTCCTGACGATTCCGACGGAAGAGGGTCCTCTACAAAGATTCCGGACGATTTCAATGGAAGTTCCAGACAATTTCGACGGAGTTTCCTGAAGGAAGCATAAAGCAAAAGACGATGTTGACGGCGATTCCAGTCGATTTCAAAGAAAATTCCAGACGATTTCGGCGGAGGAGGTTCCGGAAGATTTCTACGGAAAATTGAGTGGATCCTCTTCCGTCGGAAACTTTAGTAATCTCCGTCGAAATAATCTGGAATCTCTGTTAAAGTCGTCTGGATTCGATTTCAACGGAGATTCTTGGTGATTTCGACGGAGATTTCTGACGTTTCCGACGGAGGAGGATCCAGACGATTTCGTGGCGTTTCCGACGGAGTAGGTTCCAGACGATTTCGATGGAGATTTTAGGCAATTGCAACGAAAATTCCAGACAATTTTGACGGAGTTTCCTGATGTTTCTGATGGAGGTGGTTCTGGACGATCTCTACGGAGATTCCAGACGATTTCGACGAAGTTCGCTGATGTTTTCTATGGAGAAGGATCCAGACAATTTGGACGGATATTCCAGTCAATTTCATAGCAAATTGCAGACGATTTCTACGAGATGATTCTTTGACGTTTCCGACGGAGTAGGTTCCAGAGGATTTCGATGGAGATTTTAGACGATTGCGACGAAAATTTCTGAAGATTTCGACGGAGTTTCCAATGGAGGAGGTTCCAGAAAATTCCAGACAATTTTGACGGAGTTTCCTGATGTTTCTGATGGAGGTGGTTCTGGACGATCTCTACGGAGATTCCAGACGATTTCGACGAAGTTTGCTGACGTTTTCTATGGAGAAGGATCCAGACAATTTGGACGGCGATTCCAGTCGATTTCAAAGAAAATTTTAGACAATTCCTACGAGATGATTCCTTGACGTTTCCGACGGAGTAGGTTCCAGAGGATTTCGATGGAGATTTTAGACAATTGCAACGAAAATTCCAGACAATTTTGACGGTGTTTCCTGATGTTTCTGACGGAGATGGTTCGACGATTTCGACGAAGTTCGCTGATGTTTTCTATGGAGAAGGATCCAGACAATTTGGACGGAGATTCCAGTCGATTTCATAACAAATTACAGACGATTTCTACGGGATCTCTGACGTTTCCGACGAAGGAGATTCCCGACGATTTTGACGTAGATTTAAGGTGATTGCATTGAAAACTCCATAAAGTTTTGAGGGAGCGTTTCCGTCGGAGGAGAATTCGAAAATTCCAGACAATTGCGACGACGTTTCCCGACGGAGGAGGATAAAGACGATTTCGACGGAGATTTCAGACAATTGCGATGGAGTTTCCTGACGTTGTCTAAGGAAAAGGATCCATACGATTTCGGCGGGGATTCCAGACTTTTCCGACGGAGATGATTTTGACGGCAATTTCAGACGATTGCATCGAAAATTCCTCAAGATGTTGAAAGAGTTTTCTGGCGTTTCCGCCCAAGGAGGATCCAGACGATTTCGATGGAGATTCTATACCACTTCGACGAAGTTTCCTGACGTTTCCGACGGAGGAGTTTCCGGACGATTGCAACGAAAGTTCCAGGATTCTAGACCACTTCGACGAAGTTTCCTGACGTTTCCTACGGAGAAGGATCCAGACAATTTCGGTGGAGATTCCAGACGGTTGCAACGAAAACTTCAGACATTGTTGTAGGAGTTTTCTGACGTTTCCTACTAGATTTCTTCTTCTAGGTTTCCGACCGATGAGGTTCCAGGCGATTTCAGCGGATTTTCTAGACGATTACATTACCAATTCCGCATGATTTTGAAGGAGTTTTGTGGTGTTTCTGACGAAGAAGGTTCCAGACGATTTCGACGGAGTTTCCAGACGACTGCATCGAACATTCCAGACAATTTCGGCGGGGCTCTATGACGTTTCCTACGAAGGATTACCCAGACGAATTTGTCGGAGATTTCAGACGATTTCGTCCTCTACGAAGATTCGGTAGGGAAGATTTTAGTTCGGATCGAATATTCCAGACGATTTCGATGGAGTTTCTGACGTTTCCGACGGAAGAGGGTCCTCTACGGATATTCCGGACGATGTTAATGAAAATTCCAGACAATTTCGACGGAGTTTTCTGAAGGAAGCATAAAGCAAAAAACGATGTTGACGGCGATTCCAGTCGATTTCAAAGAAAATTACAGACGATTCCTACGAGATGATTCCTTGACGTTTCCGACGGAGGAGGATCCAGACGATTTCGTGGCGTTTCCGACGGAGTAGGTTCCAGACGATTTCGATGGAAATTTTAGACAATTGCAATGAAAATTTCTGACGATTTCGACGGAGTTTCCAATGGAGGAGGTTCCAAACGGTTGAAACGAAAATTCCAGACAATTTCGACGGAGTTTCCTGATGTTTCTGATGGAGGTGGTTCTGAACGATCCCTACGGAGATTCCAGTCGATTTCGGCGGAGGAGGTTCCAGACAATTTCATGAAAATTTCCGACGGAGGACTTTCCGGACGATTGCAACGAAAATTCCAGACAATTTGGACGAAGTTTCCTGACGTTTCCGTCGCAGGAGTATCCTGAAGATTCCTACGGAGATTCCAGACCACTTCGACGAAGTTTCCTGACGTTTCCTACGGAGAAGGATCCAGACGATTTCGACGGAGATTCAACACGGTAGCAACAACAATTTCAGACATTGTTGAAGGAGTTTTCTGACGTTTCCTACCAGGTTTCTTGGCGTTTCTGACGGAGAAGGTTCCAGACGATTTCGACTGAGGTTTCAGATGATTTCAGCGGATATTCCAGACGATTTTGACGGATTTTCCTAACATTTCCGAAAGATTTCTACGGAAAATCGTCTGTATTCTCTTCTGTCGGAAACTTCAGTAATCTCCGTCCAAATAATCTGGAGTCTCTGTTAAAATCGTCTTGATTCGATTTTAACGGAGATTCCCGATGTTTTCGACGGAGCTTTCTGACATTTTCGACGGAAGAGGTTTCAGACGCTTTTTACGGAGATTCCAGACGATTTTGACGGAGTTTCCTGGCGTTTCCGTCGCGGGAGGTGCTCGACAATTTCAAC